AGCATTGTCACCATAAACTTCTACAAGCATTCGATGCGCTTCAGCTGCACTTTTCTTCCAATTAAAGCAGAAAACTCAAACCTCCCGCAAATGCTGCTCAGTTAACACAAAATTTGACATATTCAACACAGTAAAAAACAGGGGTTTTGTATGAAACTCAAAGCGATATAAACTGAATATTATTGACAGATGTCTAACCTCCCTGAAACCACCGAAATCAGCTGTCACTATGAAACATTCATAACAGCCAGAGCCATTTTTTGAAAACGGACCAAACTAATTTGTACTCCCAATATATCAACATTATAGTTAATAAAGTTAATTTCTAGCTCGCGATATCGGAAATTTCCGTTAAATTTTCGCCACTCTCTCGTATTCCCTTTGAGGCACCAATCGACAATGAGCAGTCTTTCTCTTTCACACTTTCTGAGCTTTTGAACACGCTCCTCGCGGAGGATATTCCGGTCGCAGGTAACGAGTCTACGCCTGGACGGTCGTCCGTAAAATACGTCAACGTTCCCTAGCCCATTCCCGAAACTAGAATATACTCTCCCGTCCCGTGGTTTTTATTGGAAAGATACCCGCCAGCAGGAAAGGCAATAAATGACCGGCCCATCGGGGTTAACGAACGTCGTTATTACGCCGCGGGCGCAGTTCTATGGGGATCGTATCGCGCGGCTACGCTCGGATTTTGCGGCCGCGCAGATACATACGCGAAAGTAAACGACCTTATCGACCAGCAGCTGGTGCTCAGGTGTGACGACGCCCGACGGTGGAAGGTCAGTCGCTGCTTTCTAGTTCGCCAAGGTTCTAATTAGGACGAGGGGAAGGGGGAGGCAAAAATCGTTGTGGAATACCCGAGCTTGCCGCGAGTGTCGAGTCGTTGTTGCAGCCAATTATCGAAATCACCGCGAAATATCACAAATTGAGTTTGCGAAGTTGATTATTGTAATGGGTGATTCTCGTAGACGTAATAATTGGCCGTATTAATTCGAGATGAGCCGTGAAGTTATCGATCATTAAGGCAAGTATAAAAGCAAATAACTGAAAATTATATAAAAAATATGTTAAAATTAAGATACTTGATACTCGATTTATTATTAACCGATCGCGAGAAAACTTGTGTTTCGCGAGTCGAAAGTTGCTGGCAATCACACTTGAAAAAATACATACTGAAATATTTCAGAACAATGAGATAACGCGTATTTTTCACGACAAAAAGGTTAAATATTTGTACATGATATCTATTATGTACATGATATTTATTATCACCTTGAATATAAAAAAAAATAAACAGATTTTATTAACGATTAGATGAAGATGAAAATTAAGATGGACAAAGTTAACATTTACAGAAGATTTTCGAAGTAACAAGTATTGGTATCGATGCAACTTCCGTCAGATAAATTTGCCTCTTATTCTCATATCTCGAAGATGTTCAGGATGACTTTATTGCCTTATCCTGTATATCAAGTGTTTTATCAACGAACGACGAATTGAATAACGGTCTGGAATTGTTCGTCACAACTGCGTCGGAGACATGAAATTTCGCAATTTCTACTTCCGCCCCCCCC